AGTGAGCCCCGACTCTGATATAAACAATAGGTCAATAATATTTTTCCTGAGCACTTATAACTAAGACCAATAATTTCATCATTGACCAATCATCCTATAATTTCATTAACATTACATGTACAGATGTACTATCAGTGACGATGCATATTTTTACATATTATATATCGTATAATACACATTGTAAATGTGAATATGAAAATGCTACAACTGTGCACAGGAAAAAATTGTGAGCTATGGACATATATTAATACATTATATAATATTATTATAAACAAAAAATTATGTCTGTATTAAAACAAACATTGGCCGGTTAGTATAAAACAAATACAAAAACGACGGACGAGTAGAGAAGGAATACAAATAAGGGGGAGGGGTTGAACAAAAACAATTACTTAACCAAACGTACAATCCTCTTCCGACAGGTTCCCCTCCGGATGTACCCCATAATACGCGTCATGCGATATCATAATGTTTATTTAACAATAAATATTATTATTAGGTACTGATGCAGCGTTGGACCGGAGGGATTCGCAAATAATATGTTTGTTTTATGTTATTATAATGCACCTACTGCGATAAACGCCAGTCGGTATATACAGAATTGTTTATGCGCAAAACGAAACGGGTTTTACCGTTTCCGAAATGGCTTTAATCAGCTTAAACTCGACGGTCCCCTCCGGTTTTAGGCCTGGATTGCCAAAAACCGTGATGTTGGGGGAGAGCCGCGATTAGTTAAAGAGCTAAAAAACAAATAGACCGCATCCAAAAACCGAGGGCGGCAACGATTCTTCTTTCTGTTGCCATTTCAGTATGCAATGTAGGCTTTACCGCTTATCTGTGTTGAATATGTTGTGCTACCTACTATAAAGTCATCCATACACAAACACAGTGTCAAACACTGTAAGCCGTTAACAATATATACTGCTTTCATTTGTATTCCAATCGCCTTAAGATTTGTTGATTGGTTTATATATTTATATTATAATTTATACCCATATTAGTTTTTAACATGGTTTTTTTTTTCAATTCCATTTCTCGGTAACATTGAAAAACTCGGTTTTTTTGTGGTTTCAAAATGTTCGATACCTATACGATTTCCCATGGCACCAAGATCAATCGATAAAACCTTTCATCTTGAACTCGAATCTCTCAAATACAGTTCAACGCTATGAGCGGGCGTCTACCGGACCTCATAATAGTTTTTAGTATAGTCTTAGAAAATCGACGGTTGACCGCAATGACAGAATTGGTATTCAACAAAACACTTTAACTGGTACAATCGCCGCCTCGTTACAACACCAAACATAAGAAATATAACATAAGATTGAGTTACACTTGTTTTGTATGTAATATTAATCGAGTCGATTAACGAAGACTCGTTTTGTACGTAGGTATACCGTACGCGTGAGAAAAGAATACTCTTCGTGTGTTAATATTATATACCTACGTATTATATATTTATAAAAAAAAAATTGTACATTTGCATAATAATATTATGTAGAAACGGCGAGGTCGGTAGACAAATTAAATCCGCCGGTGATTTTTGATGTTATAATTGATGACCACCCGTCTCATGACTTGAGATATATTAGAACCGATAAGAGTTTTAAAAAATATCATGTCTATATTATCTATAAAATATACCTTTACTGTAACGTTGTGCGACTGCCACTGAGGCATACAATTAGAATTATAAGAAAAAAATATTGCTGTTGTTTTGGCTTTTGAAAACATGACCAGACAAATCAAATAATATACATATTTTGTGAGGGTACATACTTAATATTTCAACAGCAGTGTACCACTATATTATACATATATATTAATATGTATATACAACGTCTCATAAATCGTCTTAATGCGTTTGTTAACACTTAATTTGTTCATGGCCCGGTCAAGGCCAGTACTATGTGGCATTATGACTCTTTTGCTCGAGGGCATTTTTTATCGACTCCAGTCTAAAATATCAAAAAAGCAACGACAACCGTTCCTGCTTAGATGTACATAGTTTCTAATACAATATTGTATGATAGAATGTGTCCCACACACACAAGTAATATATTTTAAATTGTAATATACTTTTTTTTGAAACTCGGATTGTTGTAATTCTCTAAACCGGCACTGTATGCTAACAACCGCATGTATTTATTTTTCTATTAGTTTATAGACAGAAGAATAATAACTATTAATAAAAAAACGTGCTGGCGTATATAAGATGAGTTTTAATCTAAGACACGGCTTGGAAACGCACAACGCCATCACTTACCCGAATTGAATTTTCGGCCCTTAAGGTGTGTCTATATATTATATATTTTAGATACTTTATTTTGACATAACGACTTGTGCCCTTACTCTACTTAGAAAGTGCATTTATTATTGTTATTTTTATTTTTTTAATAGCAGAAAGCTATACACAAGCTCAGTTCATCGGTACGCTTTCGAAATCCTTCTGTGGTCCTAGCAGTGATCATTACCGGACGTTGAAGTATTATATTATTTTAATGACTCATCTAATCACACGGAGCACCCGTTCTCCGAATTTCTGTCAAGTATTATTATTATTTTAGTCAAGAGCTTATTATGTCGGTTACATTTTTTTCTCTCTCGAACAAATGATATAATAAAAGAAATAATAATAAACAGAACAGCGAACGAAGCATACAACAGATAAAATAATAATTAATTAGCTCGGATAATCTCAATCATGGGAAAATAATCTAAAAAAAATTAATGATGCTAATTTAGTCAAACTTGTTAGCGATATATAAAGATTATGTATTTATTTAACTGTTACTACAAATGTCATCCCTTTGAGAACACCGAAACCTGCACATAGTATCACTTTGATCTGTTCTAAGACAATCACTAATAAAATATAAATAACGGTTGTGTAGTTATCGCTCCAGGGTTTAGGCTATATTGAAAATCTCAGTAATTATGAGATGGCAAGTAACAAAACGGATATTAACCAAACGTTTCGATCATTGTCGGTATCCTATAGACTATAGAGACTCCAAGGTACAACTATTAGTACTTATAGGAAAAAATCGACACATTCGACCTTAACCGGTGTTGATTTTTCTCGAATTCAACTATGCCGGCAAGAGGTCGCTTTTCGCTTTCCGCTTCACATATATAAAATACATCATACACGTATCAAGTGAAATTATTACTGTACCGGATAACCGTTCTCAACAAATGTGTATAATTAGTAATTACTAATTAGTGTACACAACCCGTAGTGCGCATTAAGTACTATATTATTATATGATAATTGTATCTAATAATAACAGCATAGCGTTTCCTAAACGAGTACAAATTATGCACTTTTCTGAATTAAAACGTACTAACTCGACAAAAAAAGTTTTCCCTAGATTGTATAAACATACTTAAATGGTTATGGCGGTCCGGTCGCTTATTTTTTTTTTTAACTTTATCAGAAATTCAAAAAATGTCCATTGTCCTGAAAAGTAATTATTTTAGTATATGTGTTTAATGTGTTAGTGTTTGCACAGTGATAGCCAACATAATATTATAATATGTTGTAACTCAATTTTTATTGACATTTACACGTTGAAAAATGTTAACCACCAAATTATAGAAGCACAAAAAATGATTATCATAAGAATTAAAGTTAATGTTGATGGAGACTTTAAGTGTTTTCAAGTACAATATAAGATAACGGCAATTCTTCGATAATCGAGATGATTATCATGTTATTGTGATCTATAAATTCTATTAATACAATGCGACAACTATATATTGTATTATTATAATGATTAGTGCATGTATTGTTGTATATAATATGATACTATTGTATTATGATCGTACTAGTTTTCGCGCGTGCTTACATTCTGTATTCGACAAGCGTGTAAAAACACTTGTCAACCGTTATCACCAAAAAACCAAAGCCAAAACTTGCTTTTTGTTGAAAAAAATCTTATCATATATTATCAGTGTAAAATAGACAAAACCGAGAAAAAGGTACATATACACCATTATAGGTACAAAATTGAAAACACGGTATTTCAAACACCTTTTATGTATTAACAAAATTATTTAAACTAAAAAATCACAAAAACAACGTACCTAAATATTTATAATAACAATAAACGAACGCATTATATTTAAAAAAAAATTCCCAAGAAGATTTTCGATCAGTTGATTTTTAAGAATCTTAAAACGACAGTGAAAATAAAAAAATTTCCTTAAGCATGGGAGGAGGACTGAACAGGATCTGGCCGGGCCCAGTGGGTTAATTTACAGGAGGCCCACAATAAAAAAAAAACGCTATTTTATTACTTTTAGAACTGGCCCGCGAGACACGAAGAGTATAATATTTCAATATCGACCCTATAACGGTGGGTAGGACTGGAAATATTAGAAAATCCCCTCACCTTATGCCGTGTGAAACACAAACAATTTTGTGGTCTAATTTCAAAACTAGGGGTGCTAAGCCCATCCAAGCTTCCATCCAAATTGCGCATGTATGCCTATTACAGAATCATTTTCCAGCCCATCCACCTGATTTAGTCCGCCGGGTGGCGAGTTATACTTACAAGTCGTAAATATTGGTACTTTGTCGGAGCTATAGGCTAGCTATATGCACGTATGCGGTTCGGTCTGTAGAATCGATATATTATTATAGTGTACAATATGTGGAATGAGTTAGGCGGCTCGCGGCGCGGTTGACGACGGGGAGAGAGGGGGGCGTCTACTAGTCGGTGGACGTGTACGGAGGGAGTGAAGGAGGCGTGGTCCATTTCTCCTTTAACCACTCCTCCCCTTCAAACGGCGGCCGCGGCCGCGACAGGCGCGCAGCATCATCTCCTCGCGGCGCCGCCGCCACTGCTACTATAGAATAATATAGAATAATATTTCACGTGCAATACGTACGGACGTTAGGCGGCGTACGACGTATTTTCATTTTTTCGTGCACACCCACCACCCGCGCAGCCGTCGCTTAGCGCACACTTGTTTTTCGCCGCCGCCACCGCTTTCGACAGACCGTGCGCGTTTGTGAGTGTGTGCGTGCGTTTCGCGTCCAACGCCGTCGCGGTTCCGGGACGCCGCCGCCGCCGTCGTCGTCGTTCCGTTCCGTTATAATATCACAACCGATCATACGCGATCGCCGTATCTGTCTCCCGGCGCTGTACACCGGGATCGCGGCCGCAATAAATATAAATAGGATCCGATATTGTTTGTGTTGTGCAACTGACCAAACGCCGACGGTCCCGCAATAGAGCCTATATATGCTTATCGGTCGAAGCCCGGCGGCAATTGCAACTAAAATAAGGACACCGTGGTAAGACGATAATTGTTTTTTTATTCGCGCGTTCAAATTCATAATCTCCATCTTTTTCTCTTCTCGCTTAACTGTTGCTAAAATGTGACTAGAACAGCTCAGAACAGGGTTTACATTTAAATCTCAATAATATCTTATCATATTATGTTTTGAAGTATATAACGTTATAACATTAAAGCGCAGCCCAACTATGGACACACTACCAACAATGTGTTTTGTTTAGGATTTTGTAATTTTGATATAAGAATATACACTTGTTGGATAGAATTCGGTACTGCGTTAACGAACTTTTTGAGAATACATTTTTCTATGCTTACTTCCAATATTAACTCAATAGTAAGTATGAGCTCTACGAACGATACGCAGATTACGACAAGGGATTTTAAAATTATAATGAAATATGTATTACTCGTACATGTATGTTAGCGCCACATTAGACTTTTCCTCATAACAAACCCGTTAAAGATTTAATAATATACATTATCCTTATTATCCTAATTCAAAATTTTACTTTTTCTTCTTACTTTTAAAAATGTTGAATCAAGTGTACAAATGACGGATGTCAATTTATGACTTTAACGAATTTAACATTTAGTTGTTAACATAGAAATCATACTATAGCGATTGGACTGTTCAATTTTAATGAGCTGATAAAATTATTAATTTTTGGAACAAACTGACATATTAAGTTATATATATATATATATATATATTATATTCAAACTTAAATAGTAAATTATTAGAGATTTTTTTTTGGATAAGCAAACCAGCTCATGTTTTAAATTGTGTACAATATATAAATTAATAAATATATATATATATAATTTATTTGCTATTTTTAAATAAACGTTGGGTCTTTAGGTATTTAGTATCAACGAAAAATTTGCAATTTTAACACAATGTAATACGTTAACCATAAGGTAGCATTAGAAGTTAAAATTATTCAAAAAACGTGTTATGGGTAAACAGGTCTTTAGCAGAAATCGAGTTTCTTTGATTTGGGTATTGCGTTTGATGACGTTTCATTTTGTTTTTTTTTTAATTTTTTATATTTTGGTGGCGCATTTGGTACTTTGTTTTAGATGTTTGAACTCAACTCTGGTCCACATTTAAAAATAAACATGGCCGTGGGTAGAGGTTTTAATAAATATATATTATATTTTATGAACACATTGGCGTTTATATGATGATACTACGCTATAAAACCCCTAAACACTTTATTTGAGTCAACTAAACAGCAACGTTAAGTGGACTACCGTCTACCACGTTAACCAAACGGGTAACCCTACTTCGGCTCAAGTCCAGATTACATTTAACCAGTTTCTCATTTCCATTCATTTTCTCTCTAGTTTAGCCCTTTCTACAAGCGTAAAAAAACATTATTTTTTATAAAGACAATGTTGAAGATAAAGTGAATGATGTGTGTTCACTATTGAGAGTTTCCACTTATTAATAGGTGACGTATAACACTTCAGTTGTGGCGACTAACTTTTATACAAACAAAGAAGTATTTATAAATTACTTGATCTTTTCCAAAATTTCAGTCAAAAGTAAATAAGTCCAAACCGGTATCATTAACCGCTAACAATTAAGTCAGGCTATTTGTAGTTTACAACATACAACACTAATCTCCCTCGTCCCTCGGTCTAAACGAACTTGATTTAATTTCGAAAAAAACCCAAACGATAGGGCGCAGGCGGCTTGTAGACTCGACCAGCGATTTTACACGGGGGCGTGGGGCTACGCCCTTTTTTCTATATCGTACTTGTATCGGCTATATATATTGTAAACATATTTATTTATATTAATCCAATAGTGCCATATCGGACAGCAAGCGATCAAACAAAAATTGTATTATGATTCTTGTAAGCCATTGTTCTATTTGCGGACCGATTATTAATTATTTAAATGTAATTGTTTAAGAGCTCCGTGTAATGTATAAAAGACATATTACGTAATTATAGTTTGTCTGGTGACATATAACTACAATATTGTTACAAACCCATAGCCGAAAACACTTGCGTGTAATTACAACGATAAAGAATAACAGTATATAAAATCGATAAATGTCACTAACGTTGTCGGCATGAGTCATATTTCGCATACACATTAAACAAAACAAAATTCAGATAAGAGTAAATTGTATTAAATCCATTTGTACACGTCAGTTTTAAGATCAGGGCAACGCGTTTCATGAGATTCATTATCGATTCAAACGTTTTGTTGCGAATCACTAATTTCAGATCGGGTTTGTCTTATTTATATTGTAAACCGTAGTTTAGACGCGATGACAACTATTGCGTGAATGCAGTGACTGAGAAGTCATGCAAGTACAGATATGATTTGTCAACGTGAAAGGAACCTTAATTTTTTTTTTTGACAAGCGGATGTGATGAATACGAGAGATATTATAGAAAAATAAGTCGGTGAAAACGTAAACGGCGTGCGCTAATTGGTCCCCCAAGTCTATTTCTAAGTATAATACAATGCAACTGCGCAAAGCAGTCAGGAAATATAGGTATGTGTATGTACTCTACGATAATATTTTCTAAACTCGGATGAAAGATAATCGTCGTATACCTTTTTGAGAACTTCCACGAACCGAACGATTTAATATAGGTAATATAATATTTTTTTTCAAGTCAGATTTCCTTCGTGAAAAACGTTTTTTCATTATATTCTAAGTGGAAAAACGCGTGCAGTCGTTTCCCAAAGACCATTCTAGGGCTATCTTTGGAACTGCACGCTGGTCCCGTAGTGCCTAATGGGACATTTAACTATTTAAGCATCTAACCTAGCCTCTTTTGGTCGCCCTAAAAGATACGTTTAGACGTCACAAAACAAAAATACGCAATAAATCGTTTCTGAGAATTTTCCCAAGAATAACATGTCAATGTATCTGTTGTGAAAATTAATAATATAATGTTATACAACAAAACAATATTATAAGTTTATGTATGTAAAATTACTACGTCCAACAACCGGGTTCAGATACAATATTGCGTTTACATCTGATCTGCCCAATCTAAACTGTATAAAAATGTTTTACTATTGAATAATTAACATACTGCGAAACGACAAACGGATTCTTGATTCTTCAATAATCTTGTTTTTTTCTTAATCGTCCAGGGGTTGTCGATGAAAACAATATATCTTTGTACTTGCTGTCGTCAATATATTTTTGGAATCGACCTTCGTGTGGTATATAGGACTTGATCATCGGTCGAAGAACAGCTATAGCTGTTATTGTCCGTCGCCGCAGGCAATACTAGTTTTGTACTGTATACATGCTCATTCCGTATGCTTCTAGAGTAAGTATATTATTGCTCTTTATTTTTTTATATACTATAATTGAAACGACCAGCAATTATGGATTCCGCTACATCGCGTGCTCGGCGAGTCCGTCGCTACCGACAAGTCCACAATGGAGAGGCGTACATTTTATGAATTAGTTCTTTATATGCGGCAAATACTTAGAATAGGATGAAAAAATTAATCACTTCGACAAATTGCGCCGAGCGTCGCGTCTTAATGAATTGTCGGTTTTAATTACTATTACACCGGCGACGACGCGAGGTAAAAAGTAAAAACAATACATTATACGTCTCTGATATGACGTATAATATATTAACATTAAAACTACCTATATTAAACTGTAAATAAACTATCGGTATGCGCATCGACAATTTGTCAATTAGAGAAATCACTTTTTCATTACAATTTACCTATGATTTAAAAAATTATTCTTGTTTTGAGTTTTGACTTTGATCTGCTTAGTAAAAGTCTAGAAATAATTGTCACCTGTTATTTTTACACAATGTTTACATTATGTCTAATAAAGTACCGGTACTTATTATGTAGACTTGTACAACTCAATATAATTTATCTACCATTTATACTAGGATAAAATAGTTGCTTACAGCTTGTACACTTCTATGTTGAATAGACTTATCACATAATATAAATCCAAAAAAAAAATATAGAAGGCAAATTCGGTACAAGTATTCTGGTATTGTGTGTAATGTAAGCCGCACTGAACCATATAACGCACATCATATATGAGGGACTTTTAATCGGCACTGTGTTATCAATTCGAATAGAAATTATATATTTACAATTTAATAAAATACAACTTATGAGCTACGACATAATAATACTATTGACTGGTATATTGGATATTTGCCGGCTCTTTGAAATTCCACACGGTCCGTATATACAAATTGTGCGTTTCCGTCGCAGTCATTTCCGTCAGTAGACGTGGCCGCCATCGCCGGCGCATGGCTCTTGTATTTTGAAAGAAAAAAAAATCAGGAAAAAAGTCAGGTGGGCGGGTTAAGGGTATGAACCGTTTAGAAGAAATCGTCTGCTGTCCGCACTCCGCGCGAGTCTTATACATACACTGGCTTATGTTTCTTTTGTTTCTCGCCGATCCGATACAATAGCATTACATTGTGCGCATAAAAACGTACATGCTATACCTACCTATACACGAGTGAGCGGTTTTTCTGTCCGAGTCCGCTGTGGCTGTGTCATCGAATTTTCCAAATAAGTCGAAACCGGTCGCCGCGAGGAATCCAGACCGCAATGACCGCGCTTGCCCATCCATATTATATATATTATATACACAGCCGCAACAATGGCTTTTATTGGTCAAGACTGGTTCTGTCTCTACTATAGTGTGTACATGTGTGTGAGTATAGGTATGTTTGTATTGTGAGTACCTATACACGCCGTCTTCGTACGGCGGTCGTTTCACCTGCGCAAAAGTTTTTTTCCCCTTACAATATAAATGTATTATTATATCCTAGGCCGTATATTATTATATGCGTGCTCGGCGGGTATGTATGACGAAACGAGCCGCTCGGTCGGGTCCACGCACAAGGCGGTTTTACATGCATAATAAAATAGAAACGATAAAAAACAGAAGAAAAAAGTTTATGCCGAGAAACCCTTTTACTATTGTATTATATGTAGGCATATGCGAGTCGCCGTGCAGGCGA